CACTATTCAAGCCTTCAGGATTAAGTGCTCTACTGTAAATTAACGAATTTGAATTCTGGCTTACCAATGAGCTTCCTATGAGTTGTAGCACAGTGAACCACTTCACTGGAGTTTGGTTACTCTTGAGTGAAAAAGCAAAACAAAAACAACTTGATTTGTGGACCTACGATGTTTGAGATTGACTGAGAACCACCCAGGGATTGGTCTGTGTCCCCAACTAAAAACAGCTTTTCTAGCTCACTACTGAATAGTTATTTCATAATCTTTGAAATAAATTAGTGAAAGCAAAGAAGTTAGCTTTTAGCTAAAAAGTTCTTTAAAAATCCTTTCTTTGGCACCTGGACTTCAAGGCGAAAAGATCAGAAGACAGCTTGGAGAAGGACTCAGAAAACGTCTAAGTGGTCGCAGTCCTTGAAATGGTGCACTGGGCTGCACCCTGGGCTCACTGCAAGACCTCCAAACACAGGACTTTCTCTTTCTATTTCATAGACTCACATGGCTCTTGCCCACATTTCAACCAAATCTCTCAACACTTTCTGGAAGAACTGACTACCTTCTGAGGAAGTCCATTCTGCTGCCAATCAATCTGACAGTGCCAAATTCCTTAAACCAGCTGAGTGAGCTCTGTTTCCTTACAGCTGCCTGAATTTTCTAGTTTTAGACCCTTTGGTGCTTCAACTCTTTGGGCTGTAGATTTAAAGCACTTATCTTGCCTGCCTCAAGTTTTCCACCTAGGGGCCAAACATTCATTAGTTTGGTATAATGAAAAAATTATATAAATGGTGGTCTCCTATGAGTGTTAGGGCCTTGTGACACAATAGCCATCTGGGTTTGTGTAAGTACTCTGATGTTTGTACAAGGGTGAAACCGCCTAGGGACACATTTCTCAGAATACATTGCTAGCACATGACTGTTTTTAGGTAGTTCTGGCACTTTGTCAAGAGCTTCGTGTGTCTCTGGTCTCAAGTTCCTCATCTGTGCAATGGGATGACAATATCCACTTTCCTTCAAACACTCCCTTTCCATTTCTGTATGTGGTATGGCTTTAGATCTGCCTGCCCATGCTCTGGGCTTCCTCCCTAAATGCTTGCCCTGTCCTCCTCTACCAGGCATTCCTCCTCCCCTCCCCCTCCCCCTCCTTTTTGGTCTTTTTGAGACAGGGTCTCCCTGTAGCCCCAGGTGGCCTGGAACTCACTATGTAGACCAGGCTGGCCTTGAACTCACAGAGATCTGACCAGGCATTCCTTCTATGACCTCACAAGCTATATCTGTCCCACAGAGCATCCTTTGATCCTATTTGGCTGCCCTGAGGCTCTCCATACAATAGTCTACCTAACAGCAAGTGGCTGTGGACACCAGACTAATGTGTTCTACTGAGTTCCCAGGCTAACTCTGACCTAGAGGGCCACAGTCCAGCACCACAGGGGCCCCTGTGGTAACACCATAGGCTGACTTCTTGCTGTGTGCCAGGCTCTGTCAGCTTGTGTATATATTTAGTCCCACAGAACTCCCACCCAAGTCTCTGATAAGCAAAATAGCTCAGTATGTCAGCACCCAGACTCATAGCTAAAGTGTGCCATAACTGGGATTTGAACCTAAGACTCTCGCCTGCTCTTTTCAGCAAATCAGTTCCTTCCAAGTTGTGAGGATCTCTAAGACTCCCTCGGATGCCCCTAAGTTTCCATGGCCCTATGTCTGTCTCTGTCCCATCCTTCAGAGACCAGTCTCGATAGCAGCATCTCCCCAGACCTGGTGTTGGAGCGCTCCGTTGACTATCGTTATGAAGGTGACTTTGTGGCTCTGGACAGGATGGCCAAGTATGAGCTCCCTGCACTGGAGGAGGGCTTACCCCAGCTCTACCCTCTGCGGCCACTGCAGGAGGACCGCATGCAGTATCTGCAGGTAGGTGTGAGGCAGGGCGGAGGGGCCCTCACGTGACTCTTCCCTTTTGTCTCCAAGCTCACAGCTGAGGACTAGCTGCCAACCTCTGGCTTGGCGAGAGGTCACAGTGTGCTGTGGGGACCCAGGCGGCACACCCGAACCCCTAGGCCCATCTTCCCTGTGCTCTGTAAGGGGAGGGGGGTCCACTTGGTGTCTGTGATGCATGTCCCTTCCCTCGGGAGGCCCAAGCTTCAGAGGCGTCACCTGCCCCAAATCTCACAGTTGCAAACCAGGCTGCCCTAGACCCTGACCCACGCACTGCCCCGCAGGGCGCGGGGAGGCACCGGTGCGGGTTTCCAGGAGGGCAGCTCCCTGTTACACAGCCCGCCGGGTGCTCGCAGGTCCCGCCCACGCGGCGGTTCTCCCACGATGACGCCGACGTCTGGGCCGCCATCCCGCTGCCCGCCTTCCCGCCGCGATGGAGCTCCGGCGGGGACCTGGCGTCCCTGGCGCACCTGGTGCCGCCCGCCGGGCCCGAGCGGCGCCGCGGCAGCCTG